ATATATTGTTATATTAAAAATTAAAATATTTCTGATAAATGATTCCTATTGATAATGATTTTTACAGTGTTATATAAAATGTGTTTGATTTCGAAGTGAAACGATCCAAATATTGAGTTAGAATATGATTAGAGAGAGATTTAATGGATTAAAGTTAGAACTTCTCTAATGATATACAGTTAGAGACATAAAGCAAACATTAAAAGGGAAAGGATGTAAACACTGTATCAAAACGTGATTCAACTTCATTAGCGTTAAGACAATTAGTTTTGGTCTTAAAAGTAATAATTCGTGAACTTTATTCAAACTTTTTAACAAGCAAACAATTAACACAAGAATTAATTGTTTAAGACGTTTAAATTGTTATTTTTATAATTTATTTGGTTAAATTTGTTTGTTTATATTTAACATAATGTCAATGACAGCATAACTCAACAATACAGACCAATAATAATCTTTAAAGATTTGGCACCTGGCTCATATTCTATATTCTTTTATGCCTGTCCTTAAATACTAAAAATATAATTATTAATATAATAAATTAATTGAATATACTGTATAAATATTCAAATAATTGGCTAAGATTTAATTAGAAAATATCACTTATTGTATGTGAGAGTATAAGTTGACCAGTACCAATATATTTTACAGTTATATTTGAAAGGAAACTACATTCGTATTCTATACTATAATTTCATTTTAAAATAATTTTTTCAAAATATAATTAAATCATATTTAAATTTAAATCAAACATTAAATTAGCACTATACTTGAATTAAGAGTATTCAGTGAAACTATAATTATAAATACTATAAAAAAATAAATTCAAATAAATGGTATAAAATTTGTATAACAATTATTTTTGAATTGAAAGATTAGTCATCAAAAGTGTTAGTCATGAGACTATAAATACAATTAAATGGCGAGAATTGTAAAGTAAATTAAATGAGTTGAAATTAATGACATACCCGTAAATCATGTTGGGAATAATATATGAAAGTTATTTTATATACAGCGTTGTTGTATAATACGGTATTGATGTGTTACGAAAGTAATTGTAATTTTAAAGAAATATTACATTATTTAATTGAATTTAAAATAAAATCAATTAAGTTATATACTCGTATAAGCGGTGAACTTAACGAATGAGTAAATGTTTATGAATTGTGTCCTATAAGAGCACTTAATTCAATTATATCACTTCGTTTTCGTAGAAAGTCAGCGTGGCCCGTAACTCGTCAGCCCCGCCTCGATTAGGAATTCCAGATCCAAATACTTTACTAAATTGTGAACTTCACTGTTTAGCCTAAGAATATGTACTCAATATTGAGTGATGACATACAAATGTGCCCCCATTTAGGCATACAAATCTATACAAATCTAATTGTTATCGTAATTACAGTATTCCTTCATTTCATCTCAATGCTAACATAACATTATTATAAATAAAGGTTACCATCTAAACTACATTTAATCATTATTATCCACAACTTTTTACAATTACCTTAACAAATAGAAAATCCTTTAAAAAGCAAACATTTAGTATTCTTATAGCAATAATGCTTACTGTAGTATAATCATACTCTAATTTTAGTCTTGTTTAGTTTATTCATCATTTAATTACTTTCATTCTTTAATTAACTTGATAAATTTTAAAGTTATTTAAATTATATGAGCTTAAATTACAGTTATGCATACTGTTATAGTATTTGAATATAATAGATACGATATGTAGATTGCCTTGTGTTTGAATAATTTAACAGAATATTTCATTAATCTTTATAATATATATGAATATTATTCAGACATTTATTCAAATATAAATTTATTAGATATAAATAATACACAAATTTGAAGATATAACTTTAAAATGATATACTATACATGTATAAAAATGTATTATTAACTGAATATGAAATATAATAAATCTTTTGGTTTAGAACTGGTCTACTGTAATTACTATAATCTATTTGTAACTATTTATATCTACTTGGTGTAATTATCTATGAAATCAAATTAAACACTGTGTGCAGGTTTGAGTATTAAATAAAAATTGGTATTATTTACATAGTGAGTATTTACAAAATCAATAAACAATATTTCAAGTTTTTAAATATTCTCAGTTTTTACAGCGTTTGCCAAAACATTATAATTATAATTAAATTACTTTTTAAACAGTACTCGGGAAACAAGTTTTGAAAAATTATTCATATTATGTTATTTGTATAATACTATACAATATTGAATTCAAGCTATATGTAATGGTTGAATGCAGTATATCTATAAATAAATAACTTAAATATTTTAGTAAAATAAACGTTTAGTTTATGCTAATTAAATGTTTTGTCATTTTTCATTAAACTTATTATCTAATAATATTAATATCCTTTTTAATGAAAGGTTTGTCAAACACTATATTAATATGAAGGCACGACAACTCATAAATTTGTTTAATATTTGTATAAATTTATGAAAACAGTTATTCATTTATGATTTTAAAAGAATTTTATTTAAATGAGTTATTCATTGGAGTCCATAATGTATTATAAAAATAAATTAAAATCATTAAAAATTCATTAATAGACGTGAAAAATGACTAAAAATTACAGTATTGTAGAAAACTATTATATGTAGGAATGGCCTAATGGTTAGTCCCTAATCTTACATTCCTTGCCAGAAAGTCTATAATTCAATAATAGTAGTGTTGTTTGCAACACATTTCGCACAAATTATTAATGAATTGAGTTCAAACATATTCACGTATTTAGAAAAAATAAGTGAAAAATATTTCATTTTTATCTTGAAGTCAATTATTAGGGGACGGGAGGAGAGAAAGAGGAGTTGATCTCCTATTTTCAGGTCTATAGTGTTGTGACCTCTTTCTATTGATTCCTACCAACAACTAATACACTGTTTAGTATATCATATCATACACTGTAATGATTACACTATCAATAGGTATAGTTATAAAACAGTAATTTTTAATCAAAAGGCAAAATCAAGTGATAGTATTAATTTGAAATGAAATTTAGTTTTTATATCTTATATACTGTTCCTTATATACAGAAATAAAAATCGCGAATCTTTTTCAATTATAGCTAGCTTTCGGTTCTCAGATAAGTTTACAACACATTTTGATTAATTATTTTCCATTAATTAATAAAGTGTTAGTAAAGAATGCGATAAAGACTTCAGTACTGATTGGGAAACTGGTTTTCATATGAATTTTAAAAGTTGAGTCCAGTTATGAATGATTGCAGTTTTATTGGCACTAAATCTGCTCTCAAATCAATCATTTGAGTCAATGGTTGTATCAAATTCTGCGATAAAGCAAATAGTTATAATTATTCAACACTTCAATATTTAATTACAATTATTACTAAATCCAGTTAACATTGATGTGCACTCGAAACACATTTTCTATCCTTAAATTCATTTTCAATCATACAATTTCTCATTATTTATAAATCTGTTTATATTTATGATACTCTTATTGCCTCTTACATGCGAGTAAAGTTGTATTCAGTTTCCAATGCAAATTGATATACATGTATAAATACTGTATATCAAATTAACTACAAATTATAGTAGGACCCAGTTCAATCAAATTGAAATATTTTAATAACCTGTAGATCAGAGATTTAAATGAAAATTAGCAAAAATATATGCAACTATCAATTGTCAAGAATAATCTCGATAATTATAATTTCATTGATAATTATAATTGATTTACACTATGGGACGAGTCCTCAAATAGTAGTTACTGTATAGCATTTGGAAAATTATTAAAATTCCTATCAAATAGTCTTCAATAATTAAATAAACATTTCCAAACATTTGTCATATATCTAAAAATAGGTTAAAGTAAATAAAACCAATTTAGAAATCGACTAATTATTGAAGAATTTAGTCAAATAAACTTAATGTTTGTATTAGAAATACTAATCGACGTGACTTAACTGTAATATTACCAAATTTATCAAATCATCACATGTTATCCACAATCAAATTAAACACAGTTTTGAATATTATAATTTCATTTATTCAAAAGTCATATATATGTATTTACATCTATTGTATAATTATTTCTATACAGTTAAGACCTTGTTATTAGTGTTTATAAAAATTTAAATTATTACCAAATTTGTTTGATTAAATAAAATTTCAAAATACATATAAAGATTATAATACTGTCTAATAATTATAAACATGTTTCTGTAAAACATTGTAAATGCAATAATAATCATAATAATACATTTCAATCAATATATATATAAATATCTTATATTAATGTTTAATAACTTTAAATATTTTCATCAAAAAATTATTCAATTTCATAACAATATAAGTCAATCGAAGTAATTATAAAATCATATCAAATACTAGAATTGCATAAAACAAATGCAATCTTTTGGACTTATTTATAGAATAAATTGAATAAAAAGTAAATTTCAATTAAACATAATTATACTAAAATTCAATTTCATTCAATAATTGAATTGCAGTTATATTTAGTGTGATTTAAATTAAATGATTGATTGATTGCTTATTTGCTTTAAGTTTAAGTGAATTTTATTTCAAACAATATTTTGAAATAAGGGTTTCGACTATTGTTTCAAACATTAAAATTAATTTAATTAAATTAATTATAAACATTAATGTTTTGATTTAAAAGATTTCATAAAAATGAAGTTATAATGGATTGATGTTCAAATAATTTAACGATAAGTTTCACTCAATTCTTATCCTTGATATCAATAAAAAAATACTACAAATGAATGCAAAAAATTGTATAAAAAGGTGTTTATTCTATATTAAGGTAAATTTCATACTGCATTCACTGCATTCATCTTAAGGTAACATATATTGTACTAATGATTGAATTCTAATCATTGTTCTCATTGTATATAATATCAAGAAATGAACTCAAATGAAACTCAAATTAAGTGATGATTTTTATAAAATAATATAAACAATGGCAATCATTCATCTGTACAGTCGTTAGAGTGAAGACTAGTAATAATTACATTTGTTTTGTGGAACTATTTATTAAAAATACTATAAATTTGTCTCTAAAAAGGTTTTCTAAAATAATTAGGCTTTAGATATATTTATAAATTTATATATACTGTGTATATGACTACAGAACAGCTGTCAAAGATGTAAATATAAAACATTTTGATGTATTCGTGCATTCATTCGTTCATTTGATATATCACTAAAGTTTGACTGAAGTTTTATTCAAATTTCAAGTTTTGATTTTGTACGAAAAGGATTTCAAGCCTTTGTGTAGTTGTCAAACACTAATTGTTATTACGCTTCATGTGATTATCTGTTTCAAGCATTAGATCCAATTGGTTGGACAGATTCACTAACATTGTCTCAATATCATCCAATGGGTCCAATGGATTCTCTCTGAGTCCATTACTTCTGCCAACCATTCTGTTGTTATACAAAACCATTATTTACAGTCATTTCATAACCAATATATCTGTGAGTGTAATATAAGTGTTACATACCTCTGATGGTCAGTAGTTCTATGTTTGACGGGTGACACCATTTTAGTTAATACTTTCGGGTCTATCGATTCAAACAAAATCATTTAGATTTGAGTGATAATTGTTAATCAGATATAAATAATACCAGAATTCTTGTTTGAATAGTCTTCTGATAAAATACTTTTAGTGTTATTGGGATGAGTGGGAGATGTGGGGGAACTGGTCATCGAAGTGGGTGCCGAACATGTGTATGAATGTGAGGGCGAGTGAACGTCTTTGTCCGTATAGTCAATACTGACGCGTTGTTTGATTGTCCCGATGTTGTCGTTGGCGAAAGGCATCGATTCAGTCGAAGAACTGCTGGAGATATTGCAGTCGCGCTCGCATTTGTCTTTCCTTCGCTGCAATGTATTATAGTTTTGGCATTCATTGAAAGATAAGGGCGAAGGGGGCGGAGGGAAGTCATTGGAATAATCCACTATCTCTTTAGAATGTCGACCGGCACTGGGATTCCGGTCAATGGTGTCGGTGTTGTTGTTAATAGAGAAACGAGAGGTCAAACTCTTGACACACGAGGCGAACACCTGTTCCTGAAACTGATCATAACTTTGCCGATGAGTTGAGTGAGGATTAGGACTGAATGAAGGCATGTTTGGGCCCACATATAGAGGCGAACTGTTGGGTGTGTTTCGCATGGAGTTGACCCGTTTGGGTGGTGGCGGAGGAGTTTTCTTACGTTTGAGACTCGCGTATATTTGCGGAGACATGTCCTGATAGTAAGTGTTTGATTGCAAGTCATCGCAAATGTAAGTGTTTTGCTGTAAACTGTTCTCACTCTGAGAAATGGGATCAAACCTCTTCTCAAATGAGCCGTTCTTTTGTGAGTCATATATTTGGTTATTAAATCCATTTGAATCCGTTTGTCTCGTTTTGGCCACAATCTTAGCCACCGGTTTAGCTTTAATCAATCCCTTAGGTCTGTTCAAAGTAGCCGTTCCATCGATTTCATACACCATTCTCCGATTGTTTGCATAGCTATTCATCAATTCGCTGTCCGTTTCGTAGCCATGGATTTGTTCGCATTCTCTGTGAGTTAAATCATTGTCACAAAAAGGCGTTTGCTTTGGAAACCCATTGAACATATGATTGGGTTGTTGTTGTTTTGCACAATACATGTGATAATAATTGCTTTCATTGTTATCCAAACTCTCAAGAGATCTGCCACGAGATGATTGAAAGACAGCATTTTGTGTGTCATTTGGTATAAAAGCCAAATACGGGCCTTCGCTTCGTTGTCTGCAAAACATGAACCCATTGTTCGGCAACTGTTGGAAAGTCTTCAGCTGTGGAGTTATGGGCTGTTCAGTAGTGGGTGAAGGCGTCGATTTGGTCGGTGCGAACATTTTGATGGGAACTGTATCTTGAAATTGGGTGTTGACTGGCATCTGATAACTGTTATTGTGAGCACGAGTTAGTCCATCAGCGCAGGCATTGGTGTTACTGTATATCAGTGGAAGTGATAAGTTATGCGATGCTTCCGATGGTTGAGAGCGACTCATATGATTGTTAACGCTTTGTATCCTCTTTATGGCTAACATTATCTTCTTTTGATGGCCTTTTCAATCAATACACAACTCATTGACAAAACCATTTGTATAGAGATAATCAATAGATCATTACCTAACTTAGTGATGCCCACCTCCTCCAGGTCCTCCCAGGCCAGCTCAGTCACCCTATCGACCGAATCATATCCCTGTTGACATAGGATTGGGAAGTACTCCTCCAAACGCAATATCTTCAACCACTCCAGAAGGGAGTTCTAAGTCAACACCAAAAACATCAAAATTCAATCATTCATTCATTCATTCACTCATCGATTCATTGCTTACGGGTTTGAAAGAGGGAATCCCATCAGCGATACTAAGCCTTTGAATCTCTGTTTTGAGAATTTGTCTCTTTTGTGGTTTTGTGATACCAATTGCTGTCAAATCCTTTATTATAAAATATATTCAAATCATTTTAACTAGACTTCACTTCATTTCGGATATATAAATAGATGTCTGGACTCGCGTCTAGACTTTAGACAATAATAATAAACAGTAATATTTCCCTTAAGAAATTAAATACAATGCACTGATTTATGTCAAAAGTAGAAAATATTGAACTCCTAATTAATATTAAAGATCTCAACATACATGTATTACAAATTTTACAACTCTAAACCTACTCTTTGTTTGTATAACAATTAAATACTGTAATTACATATATTTTTACTTAAACACTAATATTTTGCTTTATTTGTTAAAATCTCTTTTTAGAGTGAAGAGTAGTAGAAAAGAATTTAATCTAGTTAAATTACCAGTAAAGATTTTCAAAAATGATATAGTAATTTCATCAATTACAACAAATTTTACTGTTTAAAATGAGTATAATTGGTACTAAAATGATATTACCGTATCTACAAAATTATATTTTTATTACTAGTTTCTAGCGGTAATGCTATTAGAGATTCTCTTTTCAAAATGTATATACAATAGAAAGTCATAAATAATATAATTATTATATACTTTAATAAGATTCTGTACACATACATAGCATTAATAATTATTATCCATTTACTACATTATAATTATTTGTTAGTATTAATATAGAGTAAACTACTGTGGAAACAAAATTATTAACATTATCGCATTGTGTCCAATAATTGATAAAATACAATAAAAATGAATTATCTATTGATAAATATATCATTTAATGGTAGACTATAAAATACAAAAGCATAGACTGAGAGCAACTGACCTCAGGTGTCATTCTGGAGATGGTGGGCATGTCATAACCGGCACGGATGAAGTTATTGGCGTATTCCGAGAAGTGGATTCGCGAGAGCCATGAATGGATTATCTCCTCATCCTATCAATACATCATTTAGTTGTTCATTAATTTCTCAATATACACATCAGTATCATATTACTGTATTACTTATAAGTTATAACACATAATACTAATAATTTTAACACCAAATTAGATATCTGCACAGACTATGTATTAAATATTTGTAATGAACACAATTCTATAAATTATAACAAAATGCATTCAAATATTCACTTAATTATAATTACATTTAATACAAAACCAAACAATTAAGCTAATAAATTTTCTTTTTCCATATCAATACAGTACCATTCAAACAACATTTTGAAAAAATAACCAACAAATTAATTTATTTAATTGTATATTTTATAATCATCTGAAAATAAAATAAAGTTAAGAATGTAAGAATATTCACTTTAATAATACTGTTTTACTTTAATTTTTAAAATATGACTTTCATTTCTTTAGATATCAAACATTTATAATGAAAGAGTGTCCCAAAACTCAAATAATATTTGTTTTTTGTTCAGAAAGCTTTTGAAATGTGTTTCCTATTAATAAAGAAAACCAAAACGACTTAAACGATCGTTAAAAAAACTATTGAAAACTAATGGGTCTGAAGGCGCCGGACGTCCGGAAAAGTGTTTCCATAGAAACTAATAGAAGTGATGTTCTCATCAATTGCTCATTGAATTGAGAAAATGTTTGTTAAATGTCTTCATTTTGATTAGATTTTGATAAAATGCCTTCATTTTTAAATATAACAGATTTATTAATCTAATCAACTAATTAATATTATTACTAACTAATTAGAATTATATTAAACTTAAAAGCATATTTGTAATTGAAATGTTACGTAATCATATCCACAATTAACGAAAACAAAATAGCAGTTCTAGTTTTATATATTTTAATTGTCAGACAACAGCCTTAAATAACTTTATATTTAACTATTTTAAAATATACTACAAATTATAAAAATAAAATTATAAACACTCAAAAGATATTCTGCTTTACGTGTGGTTATTAATAGCCGTATCTCTTAATAAATGGGACATTAAATCATATTTCAAAATATTAGAAATGAAGTCAATTTGTAGCATCAATTCAATCACAACTAATGACTGTTGAAATGTAACTCAGAATAATAATAACTAATTAAAAGCAAAACGATTACACAATTCAATTAAAAGCTTAATACATAATTTAAAATTCTCATATATTGCTCGGTATATAAAACGTGGTATTAATAGATGAAAATTATAAAAATGACAATAAACTAAACAAATGTGTAATATGAATACAGTGGTTGCTCACCATAACTATCCAAGAATTAATAGATTAGCAGAGAATGTGTCCAAAATGGCATTTCTCTAATCATTTCATGTCATTCATGACATTTGTGTCAACTTTGTATACATTTGAAGATCAAATCAAACAGAAATATGAAATAATTCATACATAAGCAATGAGTGATCTATGCGTCAACTCATTTCGAGTTAACAAATACTTAAGAAACATATTTTAGAAATATTATAAAAAATGTATTCAAGTCTTGGAGGGATGTGTTGATGGCATTTAAGGTGGCGAACAGTGAATGCATTCAAGTCTTGTAAGACTAGAGTGGAGTCATTGACTATTGGCCTCACATCTCACATATGCATCACTCTAGCAGTGAGTCTGTATAACAGAGACCACATCCACTCCATCACTACACATCACATCTGCACTCATTTCACACATATTTATTGACTATTCATTTAAGCATTATTTCAATATTATATGCAATCAAAACATCGTTTTTCAAATAACCGTATGAATAAAAATTTAAAATTTAAACCATATTTTGTTGTCAATTAACAAACTAATAAATATCTAAACATAAAACGAATAACAAGACTCGACGCTTTCAATACAAAAAATAACAATTCAGTCATTAATGGGTAATATTTGGCTTCAAAGATGACAAACAAATAAAATGAGACAATCATTGCTTAGCTCTTAAATAAATGCAATTATGATATTCAATGAATGTAAACAAAAGCATCATTTGTTACGAATTGAGATCACATTTAAGGTTTTAAAACAAGTTATTAAACGAGTTTTCAACTAAAGTGAGTTAATTTGAATTAAATATAATCTAAAATCACATGTTTTACTAGGATTGCCAATTAGGGGGTTTGACATGAATTCAGCCAACACTAAACCTAATAATCACTCAAAATATTGTATTTAAACCAACTATACGGTAATAGTACAATGCAGTATACATGTACAAGAATCAAATTATTTATACAACTTTTTATTGAAGAAATAGTACAAAATTGGATTTACCAATATAATACTACTTTATATTTTGACTTAACACATTTTGCTTTCCTTTTATAAATTATATTAATACAGTAATATTAATATTACAGTGAGCTTTATAACACTGGTTGTATTGAACCGAATTTAATTTTTTATCAATTGAGTATCACTTTTACCCATTGATTGAGAGTTCAGGTGTAGTCCTATAGTATGATTGGATCGCAATTCTTTAATTATTTATTGTCTATTATTTGCTATCATTTGCAGAATACAGTACAATGTATAATTTAATGAATAGACTCAAAGTACGGTAATACTTAGTTGTTTCATGTTAGCCATACATTCAAATAAAGTTCTTATTGTAATCTTTAAAATGAGATTTATAGGCATGTTTTATTAAGTCGAGTGAACACATTGTGTGTACCATTCATATTATGTGGTGTATATCTGACAGACAACTGACACCAAACTTTTTTTAGTAGAAGAATAAGTCAATATTTATCATTGATTTAAACATTTTTAGATTCTATTTCTATTCAAATATTATTCACTATCTGAAAGCATACTATAATTTAAAATATTGAGATTGAAAACTATGAAATGTTATCCAATACGGTATAAACATTAAATTCTACAATCAATTCAAAAAGAGGGGGTAGAGTTGGGAGGGGTCGTGCAATGTTGTAAGAGTTAACGGTATAATACTATATTAACTCGTAAAGGATTTCAACACATTTTGTTATATCATATAAAACTAAAAAACATAAAAAACAAAAATAATAAATAAAACAAATTCTTACAGATATTCCATGCAAAACCATTTCGGGAATACTGAGGGGTCCAGTAATAGATGGGCCAACACTGGCACCACTTACTGAAGTCCAGGTGTGATCGCCAGTAATAGTAATGTCGGCATCAGTTGTCACACTATTTCCACTGCCGATACTTGAAGACGAAGACGAGTTGCGGTTATAGTTGTCTTTATTACTGGATTGAGAGCCCAATGACTCGCAGCTGTGAACAGACACTCGATGCGATTGGCCAGTAGTCTACGTATAGTCCAACAATTATTACCAAAATCACAATCAATTCAATGAAATTAATCTCACTTTAGTATCACTTCCGCGGCCACTGTCCAGACTCGCAGAACTATATCTCGATTTTCTGCTGTCATTACTACTAGTGCTGGGACTGACTCGTCCCACATCTACGCCATGGTCTTCGAGGGAAGCCCTCGAGTGGTTAATAGTGTTTGGGTTTAAGTTAACACAATTCATGCCGTTTGCAACAACAACTGCACCATTGCTTACACCATTGGTCCCAATCATAGCTGTCTGACCAACACTTATACCGTATTTGTTGGTATGAGACATATAATTCTGTTGGCGACACAAACAACAGTTATAATCACATAAATCACTCGTTATTTCATCAAAATTACATTTGAATCATAATATGGATGAGAATACATATCATTGACCACATCATTGCTATTCTTCATCAACACGTCTGCAAATGATTAAACCAATTGAGGGATCAGTTTACGCAATGAGTTTGTAATTGAATGATAACTAACTGTTTGGATGGATACCAGACGTCTGGTTGACGAGCAAAGAGTGCGGCTCTGAATCACTTCTCATGACATTTGATGAATTGGTCCTCACATTGGTTTTGGTCTCATTGTTGGGTGCGATTGGCGGCGATATTCGGATACTTGTGCGCGAAGGGCTGTTCCGGTTGATCCCACTCACCGCTACCACAAACACACATTAGATATTCATTATAATTAAGCGCTAATTCTCTCATCATTTACAGTATAGTCATAGTTACAGTATAACTTATATTGCTATTTACCCTACATTACAGTACATTATTTACTAAATTAAGCAAATGTTTAAATGTATATCAATTCAATGCAAATATATTACAAGTTTTTAATGGTCTCATAAGTGCATCCAATGAAGTGATAACCAAATTAATATCAAATCAATAAATATAAATAAACACTAAAATGAATGCAATGATACTATATTACACATATAAGTTACGTGAGTGAATACAAAATGGTTTAATAAAACAATTAAATGAGTGCTGATTGTGTTAATTGTAATCATAGTAATAGTAATAATGAAACATATCATATACTGTAATATAATGTCATATAATTGAATAGTCACTCAATGAGTCTCTGTTCATGTGTTTCACATCACGTAATGCTAGACATCTATCTTATCATCAATCATATCGTAATTATAGTATCAATACAATTCAATGCATAGACAATACCCTGCACCAATTCGTAACATGCATATAGCTAAGCTGATCCAATGGATACTTGAGTGATAACTAATCAGCGAATTAGTGGTCAAGTGATCATCAATGCATACCATTGTGCGGCTGATCTGTCAACTGAAGTGACATATTATTCCTCATCATATCTATGGTGTTGTGGTGACAAACACATCCACATAACACTTCACTGCATTCACCCAAATGTCGACACAATTAGCACACAATTAGCCAAAGAGTCAAATGAATGGCAACTGTTTTGCCATTTAATCCGCCATTTGCTCAACGAATGCATCAGCAAATGAGAGACACACTGTACTCAATGTATGCACTATTGTATTGAATGTCATACAGAGTGCAAAAAGAGTCAAATGAATGGCAACTGTTTTGCCATTTAATCCGCCATTTGCTCAACGAATGCATCAGCAAATGAGAGACACACTGTACTCAATGTATGCACTATTGTATTGAATGTCATACAGAGTGCACATCCAAACGAGTCAATAGGAGGCGAGAGTTGAGTTCAACTCAAACCCGAAACTCAAACAAAAACAAGACTTTTATCTGACGTTTGAATGCTTTGACTCTCCATTGGCTCCACTGTTGGTCTCTATTATAACGATCACTCAATCTATCATCAAATGTATTNCGAGAGTTGAGTTCAACTCAAACCCGAAACTCAAACAAAAACAAGACTTTTATCTGACGTTTGAATGCTTTGACTCTCCATTGGCTCCACTGTTGGTCTCTATTATAACGATCACTCAATCTATCATGAAATGTATTGCAATGTATTGCAGTGTTTAGTGTTTACTGTGTTTACAGTTTACAGTCAAACACATACACATACACTCAGTCACTGCATAACCTTTGCTTCACTTTACGCTACTTTCCTCATCACAATTGACGCTATGAAGCAAACTATTAAACATTCAATTAGTTTATTTAACACACCATCACACCATTCAAACCATTATTATATTGCTTTTTACATTACTCTCACTATTTTATTATGTAACAAACCATTTTCATACTGTATACATGAAATGTTTTTACAGTATATTTCCTTGTTATAAGTAAATCAAAAGTTTCTTTAAGTGAGCATGGTAGTACAGTAATAGTTAATTAGCAGTTTTAATTCAATTGTTTGTGACTTAATTGGTAGAAAATATTCTATAATAAAGTCTTATTCGTGTTATATTTATATTATATATATTATATTTAGCTGTTGGGCTAGTTTTGGACTCAATTTTGGACTCACTTCTGGAGTCACTTACAGAACATATTGTCATTCAATACCTAATATAATAAGCACTAACAAAATAAATGAATGATATTTGTAGACAAACCACTAGATTTAGTGCAGGTCTCAAGTGAATTGGCAAATATGGTAATAACCTCTATTTCATCAAGTTCCCAATTTGACAGTCAAATTGTAAACCAGTAAATTGACACTTTATTGGCATATGCAAAGATACTAATTACCCCTTAGTGGCTAATATTTGTTTCCTCAAAACTACATAAAACTTTCTAAATGTTAGCAAGTTAATCAAAAATAATAACATTCTTATGCAAATGAAAATTATTTATTTAAATAAATTAAAACAAAAATATCATAGAAATAGTAATTGATTTATATATAATTGTAATATGAGTTGTATTTACAACAAGTGTTTAAAATTAGTGAACAGGGTCACTGTTTAATTATAAACAGTTAAATATTCGAAAAATAGTTTGCAAGTTATTTGAAATATGAAATCAATTCATACTTCATACACAGTACAAGGGTTGAACAAAATAGTTGCCAAAAAATATGTGAAACTCATATTAATTATATAATAATACATAAAATAAATAGTTTGTGAAGTCATGAATGGATTTATTGCACACGAAAGTGATGAGAGATTGAGCCCAACATACAGTACTGTATAGTAATATGTATTATATGTCTACACCACAGGAATCCTCGTTAGCGCCACGTCTGGCCAAATGGTTGGGGTTTGGGATTAACTCCAAGAACTGGTAGGGAATGGTTAGAGTGATGTCGTTGTTCTCGACCAATAGGTGTCCGCGCTTTGATGAGGCGCCCACTACTGTCACTCTCTGACCCTTTTCTAATTGCACTTTAGGTCCCGATTCTGTTTGCATGACAATCGCTATCAATATATAGGTCCACAAATTAGATGAACACATTACATACCCGGATAATCCATTTTAATAATCCTTTTCTGCGGATAACCCAACTTCGCGTTTCCAGTTATAGTATAGGAACGACTTGGAGGAACGGGAGGCGGAATATTCTGTAGTACAGTATTAACAAAAGTTATAATTGTTTCATTTAACTAGAGATTTGATCATATTTACCAAATCAATGCCAAACAGAGTACAGGTCTCTTGAATAACATTTTGATCACAAACTTCAGCAGATTTGGACGGATTCTGGTGTTGAGTGCCGAAAGGAGGTGGAGTTCCTGTGATAGGAAGTGGTCTCGGCTTTGAAGACATGCCGTTTAAGAGGGCATTATTTTTGTGGGCCAAGTGCTGAGCCAATAGACTCTCTTTGATGAGAGGCCACCGGCGCCGGACGTTCCACCCCTTCCAAGTGCACTGAATGAGGAGCGCCGACACCACTCTGCGCTCGTTTCGCAACATTTCCAGCTGTTGTCGCGCGCCTTCACTCAGGAATATATGTCTCTTCCCGAGAGCCCAAGTGGTGGACGCGGCCGACACCGGCTCTATGCTCTTCTGGCTTTGCATAAAACAGTCTAAAATCAACTGAAAATACATTTCATTAATTTAGAAATATTTTTACTAATTATTCAATGTTTCAATCAACTCAAAACATAATCATATCATACTTTGCAGTCTTCAATCGCTTTGTCATCCGCTCTCTTAAGTAACTTAAATGGCGCTAAAAGTCTATAACGAGAGTTAAAGGCTCTGAAGCGCATTCTGTGGGGTAATCCACCGGCCATTAGATTCACGGTCTCTAGTATCTGAAGGGCTCGGATCTGTTTAACAACAGCTGTCCTATCAAAGCAATTCGGTTCCTCTGAATTGTTTGCCTAAGAAATCATTGAATAAGTCATGAGAATTATCACATTATTGTAACATATAATACATGGATTACTAAATTGTCATACTTTGATGCATCTGATGAAATGAGGTCTCGCGTGGACCAAAGTTCTCAACAGATTATCGAGTCTAGTATGAAAATCTTGTGTCAAAGTAGACACTGGATTATAGCCATTCTGTGTGTCAATATGAGCTGTTGGTGCGATTCTGAATGTCATTCCTCTGGGAACAGTTTCCTTATTATATAAAGCTCTCAATTCAACGCCAAACAAATGAGTAACAAAACCGAAAACACAGGTATTCTTATGGAAAATGGAAATCACGTCATCACTCAAGCGATCGGAATTTGATTCCAAGAAATTTGTGGAATCGTATGTCACGTGACCCGCAAAGTGTCTGATCCCGAATAAGCGAGACATTTGAGGCAATGGATCTGTTGCTGACTTGTCTTTAGTGGAGTTGATATCAAAGTAACGACTGTTAGTCGAGTGCTGGGCTTTAATCTTCTGGACGTATGCTTCAGGTGTCCCTCTCAAAGAGCACTCGACGTCCAATAAACTAAATAAACCGGTTCTCTGTTTAAAATGAAGAAAATATTAGAAATTTCTATATTTTTCAATCCTTTTAATTAAAAGCCACTGAAATACCAAAGAAGATATGAAGTCAATGCAGGGGACGTTATCCACGTAATCAATCTCTATATCAGATGTGACGCCTTCCTCACGACACGACTCGATACTTGATTTGAAGATATGGGTGTTATAGAAGTGTTGCATTGTCTCCGAACACAGGTTTATACACAACTGCTCCAAATGACTCGGCTGTCATCACCACCACAACCAATACATTGTCATTATTATTCATTTTTGTCATAAGTTTTAAAAGTTTTGCATTACTTTTGAGTCCTCGAAGCCAAACATATCTAATATACCAATGAAGCCATCGGTTGCGTGTCTGACAGCGGAGTTCAGGACATTCATTGATTTATGAGATTTAGCGCCATTTGACCCTAAAATATAAAATCAAACATTTTAGATGTTTACTATTTAATGTCGATTTCATTAATTTCAAAAATATAGAAATACTGGTACTATATACACACCAATACTAGATGCGTGATGACTGCCTGTCTCAGTCTGATTGTGAATCGATTCATTGCTGTCAGAACTAAGTGTACCACAAGTGGATCCGATTCTCTTGGAACTGTTAGCTCTTCTTATAATTGTGGCCACAGTTCGACAATAAAGTGCTTTCGCCAACGCATCTCTTGTCGACGAGGCCTACCATTTGGACATTTGATTGTAAATTATGTATTTTGAAGGAGAGTTTAAATAAATCGTACGCCTTGTGAATCGCGATGAGACTTAATTAGTTGTCCTCTGATACTGTGGTGAGTTCTTGTGGTCAACCCTTTAAATAATAAGACACTGGATATGCCGAGCAGTGAAGAGACGGCGTTTATTTCATGACTTCCACTGTTTTTGCATTCGTCGCCCGAATCGATCAGATTTTGAGATTCATTGAACTTAATGTTACCCAACAGTAGTACTGCAGCCAATACGCGAACCACATCCAGGAATGGGATCCCCAACACTGATAGACATGACTAATCAATTCAAAAGATATTAAATTTATGCAAATTGTCAATACATCAGAAGCAGACTTACTTTCCAGGCCTCAAATCTAACGGCATCGTCATCGCTATTGGAATTCATATTTGAATGGTTCAGATATCGTAAGTTCTTAATGGTAAAGCCCTCTAAATTCAGTTTAGCTATAATTTAAGTTTTTTAAAAATAATAAAATGTTATGGCTGAAATTCATATACAGTAACAATTTATACCTCTTTCGTCGCTCGTAAGGCCGGCCAGCATTTGGTAAAATATATGATAATTCTTCTCATTTGGCAGAGTTTTGACAACTCTTGACTACACATTCAAACAGAAATAAAATGTTTGTAAAAAAGCTAATTTATTTATTTGATAGCAGACCTGATCGAGAAAATAGCAGTGAATTTTAGTTCTATAGAGCGCTCCATCAGTCACTTGAACTTCAATAAAATGTCCCTAAATTTAATTTATTTGAATAAAATTTAATATAACTTGCATTTATAAATAAAATGATTTTTAAAAATTAACTTACGAGACGACTAGATTCTGAATTTATGGCAGTTTTAGCGCTTCCCAAACTTCTTAAGACAGTAAAAGTTGCCGCTAAATGTTTGAATGTATCGGTTTCAGGTCCACCGCCCGCAACATTAAACAATTGTCTCAATATTATCATTGATGAGTAGGTCTTTCCACTGCCACTCATTCCACTGTAAAATAAATATGTATATATTGAAATGGATATATGAAAAATGGTTAATCAAATGGTTTACCTTAAGATGATAGCCTGTGGATAACCCGTCTCATTGTGCTGTCGAACCGCTTCGTGAACTATACGCAAAAGTTGTGTGCATTGAAGGGCTTCCATATGAGTGCTGTTTAGTGTCAATGCATTTCTCCTGTCCTTAAAGTGATTTAAGGACAACAAAACTGGTCCAACGTTTGTCTGTTCATTTAATGGCAATCATAATTATGATCAATTTGAATAAATATTTAAATTTGCAAAAATTTATTAGAAATAATTAGTGACGGAATAAATCAATAAATTATTGACATATTAGTGACTAATAAACTCACGTAATACTCTTTGGCCAAAAACCTGGAGTGAAGCGCTCGGAGCAATGAATCTTCAGTTAACGGTCCCAATAGATGTATCAAATCATTCACTTCTGTGTATTGATATTCCTGTTTTCGCGATTTGCTCGCTATTAATGGGGAACAGGACTTAAATTCCTCTACAAATGAGTTCAGGAATTGGTTTTATAATTCTATTCATTTGTTAATTATTATTCATTTTGGATTAACTTTCATAATATTCAGACAATATTTTATTCTAGTCTAATGACATTGTACTTTAGTCACTAATAACTGATATTTTATTTTAAGAATATACAGGTAGTTTTAGAATATTATGTAAAATTTAATTTTTCAAACTGTTTAAATTAAAAATTAAAAATTCAATTAATTATTCAATACTAGAATTCCTCTAATTTAAAAATAGTGTAGACTACATAAATAAAAAAGTATTTTTGTTGTTGTAGGTTTAGTGTTCAGAATAAATTTAAGAATAAGGTTTAGTATAGTTTGGTAAATATATACCTAATTGGTGCGATTCTTGAACTTTATGTGTTTTACCACTGGGTCCATGAGTTGTCGACTTATTGACAGGAGATATACGTAATCGTGTCCTAAGAGTAACCAATTCTGAGCTCAAATTTCTGAGCTGTTGCTGAAGGTGTACGGCTTCGTTGGACGAGGCATCTGACAGTTGACAATCATTTTATCAATTATATAGTGTTATATTCATAGAGTACAATATTATTTTAGTAAATGTTTTTATTTGTAATAATATATTCAAATTAATTAAGCAGATCATAAATATCGAATAAATTTATCCAGTACATTGCAAGTGTACTTAATTACTAATATTTAAAGTAAGATTGCATTGAAAACAATGATAAGTCTTACCCTGAAGTTGACGCTCTGTCTGCCAATACTTTGTTAACTATTTATAAATATTGTAAGATACCCACAAATAATTAAATTGATTGTAAATGAGATGTTTGTAAATAAGACAAACCTCAGTGAAATACTTGTCTAAAATAAACACTTTTGAAAGTCCGACAGCAGTTGCCATAACTGAACTGAACTGATCACAAATCTTAAACCCGACACATAATTGACGAAAACATATGAGAACTAAGCATTGGAGACATGAATAGACTCACAAATTCTAAACATATATTACATGAAAATATTGTGAATCACAAGAATTAAATTGAATTCAAAACTGAGAACATTTGAATCAAATGTGAAGCACAGAGAGGAGTGCCGACCATATTGTGATCTGCTATAAGAAAAGGCAAAGTCAGCTAAAAAGCACCGAAACTCGAGGGGAAGACATTCCCTCTGCTCTGTTATCCCTGTAAGAAGTGCCCCATTGATGACGACCTGAGACTAACCTTCGCTTAAATGACAGCTTAGATGAAAGCTGTAGAGACTTTGACTGTACCTGACTCTACCTGAGCCACTGGCAACTCATTCAAAGTGTATAGCTTTAGGCGCTATCCCTTCATATGAACCTGATTTGAAAGCGCCAAACAGGTAAGGGATGCCAAAGAGGGCATTCATTTGGCGTCAACTATAACCATCTCTTTATCACTGAACAGGGCCTACACTATACACACTGTAGTCTACCTGTGCTTCACTTCAGCCCTAAAAGGTCTCAAACAATCAAATATTCGCCAATAAGTGAATATTTTTACAAAACTTTGTGATCTTTGTTTCTTTATACCATTTCTTGTTTAATGGTTTTTCGAGTTTTGTATTTTCATATCAAATGTTCACAAGTTTTCATTTTTATATTCCGTACATTTTGCGCAATTTTAACTGTTTAAATGATAATTAATTCTTAAATATAATAAATGAAATTTACATAGATCAATTCTAGTCTGACATTAGATTGTTATTTTTCATAATCTAATTCTATTAATGAGTTCTAAATTATTGAAAAACTATCGATAAATTAATATTAATAACTTTATATTCAAATGACAGATTTTCTTAAGTAAACAATTGGAGTGGCAGCATATGAATAAATATTATATGATTATAGAATATTTATCAAATTATATACAGTAATATGACTTATTGGGAAATAATTTTTGTAATTAAATTAATAAATTTATACAAAAACATACTGGAATAATAAAATAATTAATATCATAAAAAGAACTTCTTATTTTCCGACTCCTTATAGATTTTGATGATTTAAACTTTGAAAGTGTAATAAATAACATGACGTTTGAATAATGCAATTATTTTATAGAATCATTGAAAAGCAATTTTGTCTGAAGCCATTTGGGCTCCAATAACACTTCGGGGCATTTTACTCCGGGATAAACATACACTACAGTGCACTAAGATTATACAGCAGTTGTGATGAACTCTCAACTCTAATACACATCAAAGGAATTAGTTTTTACTGACTTTAATATTCTTTATACGTAAATATTTTTTTATTTTAAAATTTTTATTAATACTATTTAAGTTTTAAAAAATTAATATATATATATATATATATATAAAGAAAAAATTGCATTTCTATATTAAATTAGGATATTCTATTTGTTTAGCATATTTTTTGCTATACTTTTGGTATAATATCGATACAAAATATTCATACAAGTGGATAAGATTTGATAGAACTACTGTATATACTACAATATATAATATGATTAAATCATTTACAGACAGGCGTTAGAGCTGGGTAAACTTATTAATAATATGAGTTATACTTTCATATAAACTTATGGAGCACATTTCATATAAAGCACATGAATGAATTTTTATTTAAAACTAATAACGCCTGTCTGTCAATGATTTAGTCATATATAGTATAATATAGTGTTATATATCTCATCTCATTTATATTATGCACATAGAAATGCAAAAACTGCAGCATATTTAAATTTAAGTAACTGAACAATGGAATAAAATAAAATTTCTAATTTATTTATTTATTTCATTAGCAAAATAATATGCATTATTTAGAGCAATTTCACTTTGTCATAGTATATTTAAAATTTATATTATGCATTTAATTAAGGTACAGTTTAATCCAAAATAAAAATGATAATAAACATAATGTTGAGTAAGTTGATTTGTAAATTTTTATGTTTTATAAAATATATTTAATTTAATACTGTGAATCACAGTCTGTAATTAATAAGACTTCTATTTTGGATTAAACTGTACATATAATATAATTTATAAATATAAAATATGTACAGTATAAGTATCATTTACTGTATAAGTATAAAAAATATCGGACACAATTCTGCTTGAAACCTACCGGTTAATTGCTTAGGCACATACAGTACTACAAAAATAGGCAAGTATTTGTGTAAGCAAAACCCCGTTCTGGACAGTACAGTTATTGTTAAAGTATAAATGTATCAATGTACTTTAATCTATTAAAATTTAGTTTAATATGACATTTTAACTATTAAATTGAAGGTGAGTACAAAATCTCCTACTGTATTTATAATGCCACTGTAAGAATAATAAAATTATAATTTCAGTTTCAACATTTTCATTGACAATATTAAATAATAAAATATTATATTATAAATTATTAAAAATATTTGAAAAATCTTAGAAAATAGATTATAATTTATAAATAAATGCACTAGACAAAATTTAATATAAAAGAATTTAATACAAATATTCTTTAATAAGTTTAAAATTAAAGAAACGGTTTTTAATTGATTTTAAAATTTTAAAGTAATATCAAAGTATTATACATAATATACAGAATAAGTAGTAATATATTTAATATAATCCACTATATTGTGATGTACAAACTAAAACTTACTTGTTAATAGCAATTGTTTGGTGGCATAACTAATGGAGTGTTGCCTGTTATAGGAATCAATGAAATGTTGGTATTTTTTAGAGGAATCGGTAGACACCGCACAACCACCAGAATTTTGAGGCAAATATTTTTGATTCTTAGTCAACAAAATAGCAAATCTCTTCTTTCGCTTAAACTTTTGAATTGCACTTAAGTTTTGCTTAATTTTTGTTAACTCTATTTGCGTTAATTCATAAAAACATTTTCTTCTTTTGTTTGATTCACTTTCATAAGACATGGTTTTTATTGAATTTGTTTTAATCATATTAGACACACACGTGCTTTCATTATAATAATTAGTGGAGTAATACTGGTCGGGCAGTAGAATTAACTGAGACATCAAAGAATTAGTTTATATTTCAAGTCGTTTTGAACTTAATTGCAAAATATATATAATATCACATAAATAGTAATGTGTTTGGACTCCTTTGGAGCAATGGATTTATAACATTATGGTTTGCAGACTATCACGACATAGTGTACAGACTTATGTGAATAGTTTGAAAACATATGCAAAGTTTGAATCAAAGCAAACTTGTTTTTAAAATTGGAATTGCATTTAAAAATCAAACAAAAAAGTTTATAAATATTTTACAGATAATCTTCACATTATAATGAAGTATAGTTTTCCGCCTCCACTTCAGTCTCCACTCAGTTATTGTGATCCATAAGTGATAAAAAGTTGAAATTTACAGATAATAACAGCTCTTAATTCAGTTAATCATTCTTTATAATCACGAATTGAGTTCATTAACAGAGAACTCATTTTTCACTTTTAATACTTTGCTATAACTTTATAATGTATTTGCAAATAATTTTATATTATTTTTATTTAAATTTCATATTATTTAAATTTCTCCAGATAAATTGCTTTAATGATTAAAATAATTGTTTTTGGTATTGTATAAAAATTTTAGTGATATTTAAATTATATTTTTGCTTTAAATATAATTGCTTGTTAATTTTATTGAAATTTTAATATCAGTAAATTATATTTACTAGAGTTATTTCGCATAAACATATTTAAATTTAATATAAAGTTTTTCAAATTATTTATAAGTATTTTAAATTAAATATATAATATACTCAACAAATAAATGTGATATTTTAAAATTTGCTAATATAAGTCTAATTGAAAATGCAAATAATTTTTTAATATAACAACATGTAAATATAAGATATGAGATTTTTTACTTTTTAATTGAAAACTCATTTTTTGTAATTTGTAATTTAATTTAAGGTCTGCTTGTAATCTTATATTTAATCAATTCAATCAATTAATTATGAAATTGATTTTAATAAAACTATTTCTTAAACACATTAATTAGTGTTTCGGCACTGATTTCAATGTTTCCGATTCTCCTGAGCCGTCGTTTACCCTCTGCCTGTCGTTTCAATAGTTTCTGTCTGCGGGTGTCGTCCCCTCCATATAGTTTGGCCGTAACGTCTGCACTCAATTTGAAACATACGATAAATATACTGTACTTTGTATATGAAATGAATCTAAATCTACGAACCCTTTCGAAATGCTTTAATGTCTTCGCGAGCGATGATCTTTCCTCCGACTGAGGCCTGGATTTTGATTTTGAACTGTTGCTGATGTAGACATTCCTTCAGTTTGGCGCACATTGTCTTACCATAAGCTCGAGCTCTCTTGTGGTTCACCAAATGAGACAATTCATCGACCGGTTTGTCATTGAGGAGTATATCGAGTTTGACTAATTTGGTGCTCTCGTAGCCACTGTCCTCGTAGTCAAATGAGGCGTAACCCGAAGTAACAGACTTTAACTCATCGTAAAAGTCAATAATTATTTCACTTAAAGGAAATTTAAACTGAATTAAAAGTCTTGTGTTATCGATGTAATAAGAATTAGTTTGAATGCCACGTCTATTGAGACATATATTGATGACATCGTTTAAGTAATCTCCGGCACAATACTGTCAGGGCCACTGGTAGCCAAGTTTCATAAGCGATTATTACCTTTGTAAACCATTAAAGCTCCGTAAGCAATGTTAGTTAAGGAGCGAAGGGTTGCGGAAATATAAGAAGAGAGGAAATATTTTAACTGATTTATCAAAACAAATATTCAATTACTAAACGAATACTTATGACAGGATTTCCAAATAAAAGACCAACCCTTGTATGGGACACTCGGCGCTGTTATGACTACCTGAGCATTGAATCTAACAGTAAATAACAAATCATTGATAACTTTATCGTATATTTTATGGTAAATTCTTACTCGTCGTCAAGTCTTTGACAGAAGACCTCCATATGAAGTAAACCCAAAAACCCTAAACTAAAGAATAACACATTTTTCATAAAATAAGTCCAATTCAATATGATATAAAGATAACGGAATGGCTTTCGGTAACGGGTCTCGGCCCACGCTGAGAAACCGATTTAGCTGCGGTAACAGTAATTCTTCGTTAAATAACTATCTAGCGCTGTTGAGTAATATACGCCTGCCAACGCACGGGTAGACACTCGCGAATACCATTGGAATAGCTTTTGGGATATCCGGCACTTTGACTGCATTTTGGATTTTAGTTTGATTGTCATCTTTTTGAACTATAATGTCTCCTATATTGACATCATTGTGGTCATGAATGTTGGCCTCAATCACTCCTACCTGTCCCGCGAACAGTGAATCAGTGGGCAACTCATCAGGATATAAAATACTTATTTTTCTGATCGTATGAGTCTTATTAGTGGACAACAAAGTGATCTCATCTCCAATTCTAAGACATCCGTCTATTATTCTGATGAGAAGAATAATTCCTTTAAACTTCTGGTGCCATAAATCAAAGACTAAAGCTTTTAAGGGATAGTCTGAGTGGCCCCGAGGGGGCGGAATCCTCTCCACTAATTCATTGAGAAGTTTCTCAACACCTGATCCCTGTTTTGCCGATACTTTCAGAATATCTTTGTCTTCAATATCAAAGAGTTTATTCATCTGAAGTGCAACAGACTCTGGATCTGCATTCTTGAGATCGATTTTATTGAGTACAGGGATTATCGTGAGCTCCGATAGTAAGGCGTGATTGAAGTGAGCGATGGTCTGCGCCTGAACTCCACTGTTGGCGTCCACCAGAATGACGGCCCCCTCACAGGCCGCCACTGATCGCCAAACTTCATAACTGAAGTCCACGTGACCCTAATTGAGACACTTTTGCATATAATTTGTATAATTTGGCATTTTCTACAATCATTTACTGGAGTGTCGATCAGATTTAGTAAATAAGAGGTGTTGTCGTAGTTCCAGACCATAGAGCAGGTCTGGGCCTTAACAGTGATCCCCCTCTCCCTCTCCACTTCTAGTTTATCCAAATATTGGTTAACATTGAGGTCTTTGGATATAGTTTTGGTCACTTCCAGCAATCGATCCGAAAGAGTACTCTTCCCGTGATTTATGTGAGCAATGATACAGAAGTTGCGGATCTGTTCCGGCGGATAGCACTTCAGGTCCAACTGAATTAGTGGTCAAACAAATTATTAGCAAAACATTGATTGCTATGAATATCATAACATAATCTCATTTATTTGTCTAACATTTCTCTCTCTTTCACTCATTTGATGGCATTTTTGTATTGAAAAGTGTCTCAAATTCAATGCAATTATAGTCCGAATATTCATTGAAACAGACCATCCGTTTGAACAAACTTTTGACAACATTTTCAAACTTTTTATAAATTCACCGCTCATTCAAACTGTTTACAGACTTATACACAATATCATATTAGATAACAATTGTTCCTGATAGTTTACAATTATTGTTTATATCATAGTATCCTTAATAATCATAGCCTCATATTTAAGAAACACTCAATTAAATCAAAATACATAATAATATTAAGAATTTAGTCACAATTTGGTTGATGTTTGTGATCAAGAATTTGGTGTTTTTTTCACATTTCAATACATTTGTGAAATGAATACTACTTTTGGCGTCAATTATGAATAGAGAATGCATTGATTGCATGAATTGAATGCATGGATCACATTGAATGCACTTATTCTACACATTAATCACATAATTATACATTTGAATACAATGAATGTTAAGTAAAATTAACCATGATAAACTCATTGAACATAACCCCATAACTGATATTCTACTTAACCCATCCAAACCCGTAGGGAACCTTAATATTAAACTCATTCATTTAAATTAGGCATTAATATAGTTAATTTAAATGGCCTTATCCATATTCAAGTGTCCAGTATTAATACTAGACTATGTGCTGGCATATTTGTACCGAGTACACCATTTGACTGTAATATAGTTATAAATAAATAATTACTGTAATCATAAGAATTTAATTGTATTTATTTAAAACAACCCATTTTTGTGCTCTTTTTACTCATATAATCCTTGATTTAAAGTCAAATAAAATCAAATGACAAAACTCTACACTATTATTACGGTTACACACAATAGTAATAAGATATAACATATTTATAGCAATAATTATATACTTATTCTGTATTATTTCAGCTAAAATTCATTAATCAATAGCAATATTAATAATAAACTGAATAATAATAATAATATAATTGAATGATTACTTAATGAGTAAATCAAAGCAATGAAGTGACAGAAGTGAGACATTTGTTTAGCTAATAATATATAATATTTAGGTTTAGTATGGATACAAATAAAGAAACATCGGTTCGGCGCGTTAAATATGCAAACAATTAGTTTTAAAATAAACACTCAAAGCAAATATAATTTACAATAAGAGATATAGTGATAAGTGATGCAATCGTTATATATAATGTTGGGATCGTTTGTTGTAGACATCGGTGGCTCTCATATCGACCTTAACTCCAACTGTATTTGTTATAACTGTTGGCTCCCGAACCAGAGTTCTTATGCGACTGCGACAACCCTCTCTGTCCGCCAACTCCCGGTCCACTCGACTGCGAGACATCCGTTTGCAGGGACGACATTGTGTGCAAAGACATGGCTTGTTGTGAATGAGGTAAGACATAAGGGGCGCCGTATGTCGACGACATACTGCCCGTAGACTGGGATCCGGCGGTCAGATTGAAGGCAGGCGTTGCCGTTTGAAAGCCCTGCTTATCGTAACTCTAAATATACAGAACAGACGTTAATAAAAACAAACAACACTTCAATTATAGAGAATTAAATACTTTATTGATTTGCGAATGATTTTTGCCATAAATAGAGGAGTTGGCAGACGTCAGGTCCGATGTGTTGGAACCGGAGATGCCTTTACTGTGCTGTTGGACTGATTGCGGGTAACTTTGTTTGACGTAATCTTGAGTTTGGGCTGAAATGGAATCGTAGCCTGAATTGTAGGAATGAGATCCATAAGAGGTGTTGGCCTTTGCAAACGCCGATCCCGCAGAGCCTGTGTTCTGTGGCTGAGCCACGGGGTATAGGGGTTGGGTGGGGTATATGCTTTGCGGCATCATATTAATTCCAGGCGCTAAATAAAAGCCATATCCGGGAGGAAACGTATTCACAAACGTCTGATTGTGTGTTTGAGAAACACCCGTTTGACTCGTGGACACCGGGTTTACTTCGGTTTCAGATCCGCGGCCATACTTCACATCTATTAGTGACCAACAAATCAATAAACATGTGCTCAAAGAAATGCAAACCAAACCTTGTGTTCCGTATGGACCGAAGTTGTGGTCGCGAGCAGTCGTTTGGAACTGTAAATCGTAGGGAATACCCATTGGATAGATGGGAACACCAGGGTTTTGGACAATATATGGTGTACTCAATACAGGAGTGGCGGGAACACCGGGAGGAACGTTGTGCACTCCTTTGCCGGCTGTAAATGAAAATTAAATAATCATTAGCTTCGAGTGTAAAGTAAGCTAGTACAAAATATTAGTCGACTTACTGGCTGACAGGGTATTCTTCAAGACATTTGTAGTGACCGTTGAGTTCATACCCAAACCGCCCACAGAATTGTTGGACACGTCGTATGGCTTTTGTTGAGAGTTGGAGTCCATGTCTCTGAGCTTATGATTGGAAGTGTTGCCGATTGTTGTTCCCGAATAATTGGTCGAATAATTGCCGGTCACTTGATTGCCATAAGCCGATTGACTGCTTGAAGAGTAGGGATAACTGGAGGAAGTGGTAGTCGAGTAGTTGTTGGAGTTGTAGGACGTATCGGAAGGATAGGTGTTCTTATAGTTTGAGGTAATGTCTGCCGCACTGACAGTCTGTTGGGAAGGAACCGATGAATAATCAGACTTATTGTTTCTTTCGAGGACTTTCTGTGCGAACTGTCCGACACTTGATTTGGTGCTCCTGTCGAGCAGTGAATCCGATGCGAGGGACTGGTGTCCGAGCACTGAGTTCTGTATTATAGGAGACACCCCTTTACTGTTGGAGTCATTGATAGTAGTGGAAGGTCTGAATGTGGTGTCACTGGACTGCGATAACATAGAACTGTTGGGCAAACTGTTGGTTTCGGCTTTTTTCGCTTTATTCACGTGACTAACAGTATCCGAAAAATCTGTTCCCAAAGAGAACTGATTGCTCTCTGAGCCAAACTCAAGAGTACCAAAATGGACACCCAATGCAGCGATTGTATCATTGGATGGCATCTCAACAGCGGATTCTGGGATTTTTGAGGGTCGGGTCTGTTTGATACGCGATGTCTTGTTGGCGAGACTGGAGGGTTGGGAACTCGTCAACGAATCCAAATCTCTCTCACTGTTTGACAATAAGTCCGAAGCATTGGTGCTATAATTGGCTGACGGACTGAGTCCTACCAGAGATTTGATGCTTTCAGTCGCCTGTTTGTTGTAACTCATAGAGTACTGATTCAGATTAGGTGTCTGTCCGGCGTTCGACTGTTGGATTTGCTGCAGAAGTGTCTGTCCGGCGGCAACGTTGGCATTGCGGGACACGTTTGACGACAATATAGCACTCATTGACTGATTCGAGTCGACGGAAGATTTACTCATAAATTGAGACAAATTGTTGGTCTGACTGTTCGTCAAATTGGATGATATACTGTCCCTGACATTCATCTCCTCCTTCTCTGATATCTTAGTGCTCGGCGTAAACACTTTGGTCTCCATATGCTGTCCATAGAAAAGAAGTAATTTGAGTACAAATGAGTCATGAGTTAAATAAGATAACAATGAGTCATACGTTGGGCTCCCAGTCCTCTTCACTCCAGTCCTCATTGGTGGCGATGTCGGACCAGTTGCCGACTGGCATTGGTGTCACATCGGCGGGCTTACGAGTGGATTGGTCTGCAGTACTGTTAGTCCACGTGTCGATCGAGTTTGGAAATCCATCGTTGCCTTGAATGCCACGATTCTGGAAAGTTCGTGCCCCCCGACCGGCACCACTACTGATGCCACCCCTATTACCCCGACCCGAACCACCTCTTCCGCGACCCCTTCGATCACCTCTTCGTGAAGGCGCCGACGGATCTAAAGGTTTGAAAGAACCCTCTTCTGGGTTATCACTCTTTTCACTCAAACCCCTATTCGAGTCTTTGGGCTTTCGTGGGGCGCCTCTGTTGGACATCCCGGCCCTTTGCAGCCGAGGGGGTCCTCCGCCACGACTCTGAAGGCGAGCGTTTGTTTTAGAAGACAAGTGCTTCCCATCTCTGCTGTGGTCTCCCTTCGAGTCTCGATGGGAATCGGCTTTAAGGTTGTCATCGTTGGAGGCATTGGATGTGCTTTTGGGCGGCTTCTTCTTCTTGCCCGTCGACATCCACTGACTGTCCAGAGAGTCTCCCTCTAACTCGAGGATCATATCAATGGCTTTATTGGTGTCGTTGTCGCAGTCATGGAGGGCCACAACGGCGTCGTCTCGTGAAGAACCCGTCAGTTCCATGATTTGCTCGATTTTCGCCTTCAGGTCGTTGTCGTCCATCTTATCGTTCATCAGAGTCGCGATTCGCATCTGTTCTGCAGTTGGCTATCATTCAGAGCACAAGACATTTGTTGTCAAAAGCACCACACCTCAGCTCATGTCATGGCACACATACCTGTAATTTCAAGTCGGCTTTCAATTTGTCTGAACTATGATTCGTTTGATTGGAATCATTGGCCGAAGAGTTGTGAACAACTGGAGTGCCTTTGTTTGGGTGACTCTTCTTGTCTTTATTGGGTCGCCGCTGAAGACCGGTTCCCAGTGAGCGCTACTGACTTCAGTACAATTAAACTAAAGCAGAATATACAACTGTTGTTAATAGATAATAAATGTTATTTGAGTTTGAGACAGATGTCAATACATGTTTTGGACGCTTTATTTCGTTTACTTCAACAAATGAATGGAAATTGAAATCAATTGAAAGCATTCATTGAATGTAAATCACAGCTAATGTTATGAAAGCAAATGAAATGCAATTCCTATGAAATGCGCGTTCATTTGGTTTGCATTGCATTGCATTACAAACAAAGACATCACTCACAGTCACCACACACTCTGTCCATACAATCACACACTACTCACACACCAGTCACTCACTCACACTCTCACACACACTCACACTCGCTGTCACACACCCGCCCAATGGTCACTGCAGTGACACTCACTCTCAATGACCACTGAATTGAATGTAATTACCATTTATTTTGAATACAATTTACAAATTTGAGCACAAAATGCAACAAATATTGAACCAAATGTTTGTCCATTAAGTACGACAACCACTCAACCAGTCATTGCATGTTTGGATGACTCAACCACTCATTCAAACCACAATCATATCAACAATGATCTCACACTTGATCCGCATATCACACTCATATGTCTTACCACTCCATCACTGGATGTGATTATTCTGTGATGAGTAACACGAGTGAAGACAACTCACTATACGAGACACCCATGACTTCACTGAACAACTCTATGGTCGGGTCCACACGAATTGATTCCTCACTCTTCGACACCCTCTCGACCACCAGTCAGGCCATGGATCTGTTGGACACACAATCAATGCACGGATCCGTTGCCACAGATTCCACATTGCGACCAACGTTTGCACAGAAGACCACCTCTTCCCAAGTCTTAATGCCTGAGTCCTGCGCTTGGCTTCAAAGACAACTCATGTCTACCATCGATGACGACTTGAATGACAATAACCGATGCATTTTACTTAAGAAGATGGTATCGGAACTGGACTGCGAGCACATGGAGCTCATGGCTGTCGAGCATCAGATCCAAGCGCTGAGTATTAAATGCAAAACCATTCGTCAAAACATAGTCTCGAAAACAGATTTTATGAATTCATTGATCAATGAAATGGTTGTCAACTCTAACTCTAAGCAAAGGGCGCACAAAGAAACACAAACTGATCCCAACGACAATGAACGCACAGTCTATGATAATAAGCCATCGTTTTCGCAAAACATGTCTTCTGATAATTCATTTCATTTGACACCAAACGATNCACTCGCGATGACTGAAGTCATGTTAATTTGATTTCGTCTTATATGTTGACAACAATTATCTATTATTTACAATAAACTCAAACTCTGTCTACAGTTATGTACAAAACCTGCGAAATAAAGCAAATGAGAAACAAATGAATGGAAATTGAAATCAATTCAAAGCCATTAACTGAATGCAAATCACAGCTAATGTTATGAAAGCAAATGAAATGCAATTCCTATGAAATGCGCGTTCATTTGGTTTGCATTGCATTGCATTACAAACAAAGACATCATGAATCAGTCATCGCACACTCTGTCCATACAATCGCACACTACTCGCACACCAGTCACTCACTCACACTCTCACACACATTCACACTCGCTGTCACACACCCGCCCAATGGTCACAGCAGTGACAGTCACTCTGAATGACCACTGAATTGAATGTAATTACCATTTATTTTGAATACAATTTACAAATTTGAGCACTTCATGCAACAAATATTGAACCAAATGTTTGTCCATTAAGTACGACAACCACTCAACCAGTCATTGCATGTTTGGATGACTCAACCACTCATTCAAACCACAATCATATCAACAATGATCTCACACTTGATCCGCATATCACACTCATATGTCTTACCACTCCATCACTGGATGTGATTATTCTGTGATGAGTAACACCAGTGAAGACAACTCACTATACGAGACACCCATGACTTCACTGAACAACTCTGTGGTCGGGTCCACACGAATTGATTCCTCACTCTTCGACACCCTCTCGACCACCAGTCAGGCCATGGATCTGTTGGACACACAATCAATGCATGGATCCGTTGCCACAGATTCCACATTAAGACCAACGTTTGCACAGAAGACCACCTCTTCCCAAGTCTTAATGCCTGAGTCCTGCACTTGGCTTCAAAGACAACTCATGTCTACCATCGATGACAACGACTTGAATGACAATAACCGATGCATTTTACTTAAGAAGATGGTGTCGGAACTGGACTGCGAGCACATGGAGCTCATGGCTGTCGAGCATCAGATCCAAGCGCTGAGTATTAAATGCAAAACCATTCGTCAAAATATAGTCTCGAAAACAGATTTTATGAATTCATTGATCAATGAAATGGTTGTCAACTCTAACTCTAAGCAAAGGGCGCACAAAGAAACACAAACTGATCCCAACGACAATGAACGCACAGTCTATGATAATAAGCCATCGTTTTCGCAAAACATGTCTTCTGATAATTCATTTCATTTGACACCAAACGATGTGGTGATGTCTGTAATGTCTGTAATGTCTGAACGAGAGACTTGTGTCCAAACAGAGAATCGCTCGCATTGTGAACAAACTGTAAACTCAAATAAATTCAACTCTTTTGCCGTAAAACTAATTGTCATTAAAAAGTTAGAAATGATATTGAATTGAATTTATTTGCAGGTATTGTCGGACAATATGAAGAGATCAATGAATCGGTTGCCGGCTTTGGTTAAGGGATACCTCACGCGAAGGCTTATGAAGACTGAAAAGGTTTTACAGAAAATGGAAACCATTCGCGAGACAACACAACTGTTGACTTCTTATCATAATTTTCATCTAAACAAGAAGATAACCATCGAAGACATCAATCTACACAAACGTCTGATCATTCAATTGGAGAACAGTTGTCATGAATTCTATGATATATTCTTTAATTACACGAAATGTTCACAAATGGCTCTAATATGTCGATCGAGGGAACAGATTCTCGATCGGCACTACAGAATGGGTTCTGTTTTATCAAATTCTAGTTATTTGTCACCAAATCTATACTCAAATCAATCGCAGACCAAAGCCCTGTCTTCGGCCACCAAAAGGGTTTTGGAGAGAAAGACTCGAATGGTTTCATCAAAGAGTGGATCAAATGAATGTTCGCAAAGCTCTCACAGTTCGCACTCACTGTCAAAGTCATGCCCACGAAAGTAAGTCCACAATTGAAGTGTATGTTTGGCACTGTTTTCACTGTAATTGTTTAATACCAGGAGTTTGTTATCACCGAAAACTATATCTTCGTCGTCCAATACTTCGCTCAAAGATTCCAGAAATGTATCCAAAGCTGCATCTCGTCGTGCTTTAAGACATTTGAATAAGAATTCCTCGCAAACTGTTAAAAGAAACATTACTTTTATTAAGAAATAATTTTTACAACTTTTTTATATTTTTCTATTATTAATACATTGTATGCTATTCTATTTTACAAATTATATAATAAAATCATAATTTTTACGTTTCTTATATTTTTAAAATTTTATGTTATGTCATTGTATTACGGTAAATGCTCTGGAGCTAAAATAAGGTTATCATACATTTCTTATAATTGTATGTTTCCAATCAGAAATTTCGAAAAAGATGAAAGGTCAATGGATAAATAGTTTGATAATTGTAAAAACATACTGTACCTGAGCTTTAGTAAATTGAATTAAATTAAGTTACGGTATTAGCAATTCATTTTGAATTTTTTACTACCGTACAGGTACAATCAATTCTATACACTCCTTTTATTATTATTAATGAGGTATTCATATATTATACAAAAGTAACCACAAGACCCGGACGCTGATATTAAAAAATTGTCATAGATAAAATAAATTGTTATAAACCTATTCACTTTTATTAGTTAAAAATTTTAATAACACTTGTCAACTTATTTACATTACGATGCTGTACAGATTTTGAAATATTAAAGTCTCTAATATGGTTATGAATCATAAGTTATAATAGTTTATTTGATAGTCTATTTTACTATTTCTCACATACCCTGAGCGTTCATAAGTTCTTGTAACATTTATAACAATTTAAGTTAATCATTATTGTCAAACATTATTTTGTTGAATATTGTCTAAATTTAATTTTATGGAACATTAAAAGTATGTTTTAAATGCTTTATATAAGATTGAGATAAAGATAATGTTTATAATTTACAAATTGTCGATGTATCTTGAAGCAATTAACAACATAAAAGAAGTAAACGATAAGTTACATAGATATGGACAAATTATTTTTGTAACTTCAATAGTTAAAAAGTTATTCATGTTTAAAAATACTGTACTACAAATACACGAAGATTTTAAAAATCAATTTCATAATTAATTGATTGAATTGATTAAATATAAGATTACAAGCAGACCTTAAATTAAATTACAAATTACAAAAAATGAGTTTTCAATTAAAAAGTAAAAAATCTCATATCTTATATTTACATGTTGTTATATTAAAAAATTATTTGCATTTTCAATTAGACTTATATTA